CCCGCAACGGCGGGAATAAGAGATAAATCCTCGGTCATCTGGGGCTGAAGGGCCCTAGCAGGTCGAAGATCTACCGGGTTATTTCCCCGTAATGGTGAAACAAGGGTATTATTCTTAATGTCATGACGGGATTTACGACTCATAATAATCACTGATTTGATCAATAAAAAATCGAGTTTCTAGCAATGCTATTTCCCGGAAGTCCGGGGAAATAACAAGCATTGCTAGAAACTCGATTTTTTTTACTGATTAAAGTAGTGATTATAAGTTGTAAACCTTGTCATGCGATCATATAGAAACGTGTAATAATAATATTTATTACCAGTTCCACCACCAATATCAATCCAAACTGGTTTACGTGACGTATTCGTCATTTGTTTCCTAAGCTGCTCAGCCGTAACTTTTAACATTGTAAGTCTTCCACGTAACAGACGACCACGTGTAGCATCATAAACTAATAACAATATTTATATTTAAATTCTTAATAAAAGTAATATTTTTTTTTACATGCGAACCTTCTGCTTGATCCTCATAAAACGAATCTAAACGACTTCGCTGATCAAACTTATTTCCAATCGGTTTTAAAAAGCAAGAATATATAAACTTTAACGGTGCTTTAAACTGCTCGCTCGTTAATAAAAGCGCAAATATAAAAATAACAAGGAAAATTTTAAGGTATTGTGGATCAAAGGCTAGTATAATGGCGAATGCTATGGCGCCAATTAAAATTATATAGCGATTAAAAGACATAATACTGTGATAGCTTTTAAAACAACGATAAAGCAAAATTTCAAATTAACGTTAATGCTAAATCCCAAAAAAAGGGGTAACGGTAATCACAGAATTAAAGCTTGATGTATAGCGAGATAACCCGAAAATGGGTGATTGCGGATCAGAAAAGGAATGTATAAGCCGGTTTAATATCAGGCTTTTTAAGAGTAAAGCATAGCAGACAATCTCTGTTATTGGAACAGGGGTGAACGTCCCGAGTGCCCCGATCTTGCAGATCGTTACACAATTGTCA